TCGGTACGACTTTCTCAAAATCAGATTTAGTTAAAATGTTTGTCTCAGCCCCAGAGTCGAGTTTAACTTGAATAGGTTTATTATTGATTTTTAGCGTCGCGTGTTCGTTTGTTGAGCCGTGTATATTGCCTTGTACTTCGTCGATACCGTGATCTGAGGTGTCACCGTCTAGTTCGAGGTGTTGGACATGAGAGTTGTGATGAGAGTTTGGTCGGTTCTTGCTGGAACGACATAACTTTGCAAAATGTCCACTTTTACCACAACTGTTGCATGTTTTACCGTATGCGGGACATTGCTTCAGTTCGTGAGATCTGCCACAATTCCCACAGCTTTTCTTGTTTTGATATCTGGGACGTTCCCGTTTTGTATCGCGTGGTTTTTGCTGGCGTGTATCACGTTGACCACCTTGGTGTAGTGCGTCTACGTTCACAGGAGACTTATCGCCCAGAGCCTTTACTTGTTTTCGAGATACTTCAGCAGCTCTGCAGATGTCGACTGCTTTTGTTAAAGTCAAGTCCGTTTCACGTAACAAACGCTCTTTTAAGCTTTGGTTCTTGATGCCGCAGACGATTCTGTCGCGTATAAGACCGTCGTGGAGGGTTTGGAATTCACAAGTCGCAGCTAAAGTTCGTAGTACAGTCACGTATTGATCGATCGTCTCATCTTCTGCTTGGTCTCGAATGTTAAACTTGTGGCGCTCGTATGTGATATTTTTTCTGGGGTTACAGTACTGTTTGAAGGCGGTTCTCAGTTGTTGTGTCGTTCGCTTCCAAACTAGCGTATCACCTTCGCCGGCTTCGGTTTCTGGCGTTGGGAAGGTGAGAGTTTGGTGGACCTCGCGTCCTTTCTCGCTGATACATAGTAGAAAGTAGGAACATCGTTCTTCCTCAGATTTCCCTTTCAATTCCGTCTTTTTGAAAAGAGCCCAATGTTCGTCAAACTTGCGGTAGTTTTCGCTGACGTTGCCTTCAAGATTGAGTTTCTTAGGAGCTGCCCAGTAAGTGGTTCCTGCGGCCATGTTCAGTTGTTCAGAGGTCCACTCCTGACACCATGTAATAGACTCTTGGATATCTTTGGTACATGTATATTTATTAAGAATATATATGTTGAGCTCAGCGTAGGCTATATAAGACTGACCCGTTAGTTATATGTTACATAATACTTATTCATGATCTGATCAAGCTAATTGGATCGAGTGTCAATCATTACGTATATAATCATCATATATTACAGGGGCAATAGAGATATTTTGAAAGATTGAGTGACTTTGCATTTTGTTTTGTCACTCCTTGTCATTTTACAAAAACAGCAATCCCGCGCTATTTTGCTTTCTTTCCACTCAAATATCACATCTCCTAAACAAATAATAATTAAAATTTATAACCGAACCCAAACAAAATACCAGAATTCAACTTTTCATTCAAATTTCATCTGTTTTTCACCAGATTTTTACTCGGAAAGTAAAGAAAAATATAAAAGTTTTGTTGACCGCGCACGTAAGGGGACTGAGAATGACGCGCAAGAATGCCTTCAAATTCCGCCATGTTGGCTTCACTTTTTGAGCTCGAGTCAGACTTCCATGTTATATAGTTCAGGGGCCGGTTGTATCAAAGGCGTTTAACTCGCTAACCACCGTTTAACTCGCTATCCGCCGGATAAAATTTAAATGCTCGAGAAATCGCATTGTATCAAGCCCGTTTAGGGCTATCCACCAGTTAAATTTTGCCTATCCACCGCATAGAATATATAATAGACCAGAAGCCTCACTGTGTACACCTTTCCTTAACGTTTTCGTGTCCGCGATTTTTGCCTTGCGGATCACGAATTTCGCACGCTAGATGACGTATGTGACACTTGCTGCGAACATCACGTCAGCGTTCGTCAGCAAAACGGTTAAAACAGCAATCTTTATTACCTGGTAATGGCAATTGATGGCGTAATTGCTCGCGTTTGATGGCGTGCATTACACTTGCTGGCTCGCGCCTGCGCATAAAAAATCTCGGACATAATTTTGGCACACTGAGGCTTCTGGTTTATTTTCTATTCTGTGATCCACCGTGTAAACTTATACGGTCTCTTGAGACCGTTTAAATCGCTATACGGTGGATAAACTCGGAGTTTGAAGATAAAACAATGATTATTTCGGATGAAAAAGCATGGGATAGTTATAAAAAATTTTTAAATCCAATAAACATGAAAAACTCACTTTTAACTGGCTTGGTCTTAAGGTACACTGAGGTCACTTGCTCACTTGTAATTCCGTGGCTTTGCTATATTTACACACACCAGTGTCATGTTAGATGTTAAGTATATATACTCTGGCTTTTTCTCCTTCTTTTCTTCTATTATATAGTTTGAAAACAAGCAGTAAGACTCCCAATTTTAGCCATTGTAAAACAAACAATGACTTTGGAAAGCCAACAAGTATACAAAATAGACAACAAGATGCCGAAAGTCGAAAAAAAATTGTTCGCTCGCGTTAATCGCTTTGATCAGCCAATCAAAACTTGGGACAAAATGTTCTTAAAATTGTTTTGAACAAAAGTGCAAGGTCGAGGAACAAATTTCAAACAGTATAAAACTGAATCAACTGACAAAAGCCAAATATAACTCACAGTTTTTGCTATTGCCTTCGACTCTTCGCATAAAGAAGCCAAAAATCTTTAAAGAAATATCCGTAAGTGAATTTAAGTGAATGGGAAACTCAGCACAATGTGAAAATGAAAAGTTTGATATAGATTTGCAGCAACGAATGGACGAGCAAACTCCAAATAAAAACAACAACAAACTTTATTGCAAAAGCTTAGTGGAATTCACAAGTTAGATAAAGCTTCAAACGTTTACAATGGCCTAGCAACAGCTGACGTAGAGGTAGGAAATTTCAAGAAAATCCGGTTTTCTCCGGTTAAATTAAAGGTTATCCTACGGATAGTTAAACGCAGTACTAAACAGGCTTCGTACAACGCAATTTTATCGGCCGTTTAACTATCCGCTGGATAAGAAATTTATACGCTTGATAGCGGCTAAACACCGTTTAAGTTAAACGCCTTTGATACAACCGCCCCCAGTGATATAAAGTTGCTGCAAGTTATATTTGAAAGTGGAAGCATGAAGTGGAAACACCGTGAAACGATAATTTTTCGCCTCAGTTTTTCGCGCCATTTTGCGGGATTCGCATTCATATTCGCATCGGCCATGTTTGTATGTCGAATAATATTTGCAAGTTGAGAGTTTCAAGGACAGTTTTATACATGGTTTAATATAATTATGCAAATATGTTTTGCTCTAATTGTGGGAAATCTTGCATTCCTAATGCAAATTATTTTTCACCCTGCTCGGTTTCCTTTGTTCTTATCGGGGAATATATTCAATATTCCCCTCTAATCAATTTCCGTTTAATAATCCCCTCTAATATTCACCTGCGATTGATATTCCCCTCTAATATTCACCTGCAATATCTTTGCAGCACAAAAAATGAGAAAAAAACAACATAACGAAGGCAATATGGCATTAGGAATTATTTCTATTCTGTCTCATTAACGTGACCTCGCAGTGGGAAAAATAAGTACGTTATTTTGAGGCACCTCGGGGATATGTGTTTATTCACCTCGGCGAATAAATCACATATCCCCTCGTTGCCTCAAAATAACCTATACGTATTGTCACGGTTGTGGTAAAAGTGTCAACCAAGCAAATAGTGATACAACAAATAGAGTTAGCAAACAAGAGGCACCTGGTTCGAGAACAGAAGCCGATGGTGATAACAGTAGCGCCCCTTCTACTTCATCTTCGAGTACTTCGACAAATGCACGACCAGTCACTTTCTCTGAATTTTGTTCTCGCAAGGAGGGCGATCGAAGCAAACATTTTAAACAAAAGAAAGATGGTAAAAGAATCAAATTACATGATAAATCTGGGAAATCAAGCGAAGTGAAAATAAACATTCGGATTATGACGAAAAGAGAAGATGTGCTTGTTGTTAAAAGAGGTGTAACTCTCCCAGTAACAGTACGAACGAATATAAACTATGATGAATTGATAAAGAAAGCAGTAGAGAAACATCACCGTTTCAATAAAGACATTATAAGACACAACGACAAAATGTTCTATTATCTCCTCTATGGTGACAAGAAAAAAGCAGATAAGCTGCCTGGTTGTGATGAAGCATTTTCCTTGAAAAGATATGAAGAGGATATTGACAA